CCTAAAAAATATATCAGGCAGATCCTTCTAAACACTCAGTTTCTCTAACATCTTTAGTCCTGAACATTTATGTCTGCAGCACATCAGAACCTTTGGATTTGTTTTTATTTTCTCTCATAGCGGAGGATGAAATGCTGCCCATGTGACTCCAGGAACCCCAGTGGTCAGCTCGCCCACACCATCCAAGACATCCTCACCACCTCTGGACCGGACAGGTGGTGGCAGTCCAGCAAAGGTGAAAATAACCACAGATAGATACATTACTTTAAAGAATGAGTTTAGAGACACAACGACATGTTTCCACTTCTTACTGATCGGCCTGTCTGCGAAACACTCAGCTGCCATGTTTATCCATTCACTTTGGACATTTCTGTCCTCCTTCTTGCAGGGGTGAATCCAGTCACTATCCAGTTGGACCTCAATAACTTGTTCCAGCTTGACAACCTGGTGCTCAGCTTCAAGGTTTGACTCAGACTGAATTTTAGACACGAGCTGCTTTGTTAGATGTTGGCTTATAGAAGCACTGGGTGTTGTTTTCTGCAGGGTCCTCGTCCCAAAGCCATGGTCATAGAGAGGACACTGGACAACGGTCGGACATGGCAGCCTGCTCTCTACTTGGCTGAAAACTGTGAGCAAGCTTTTCCTGGGATCCAAACCACCTCTCCTCTGAGTCTAGACCAGACTTACTGCACCAGGCTGCAACCCCATATAAATCCATATCAAGACGAAACAGTAAGCATCCCCGACCGTTACTTAGTCTCTAACAGTGAATATATGAGGTTTAGAAAGCTGCCCTTCTAAGCATATTAACGTACATCTCTGCTTGCAAGCTGTGGAGAATTAGATCCGAATTTTGGATGGAATAAAAGCAGCTCTACTTGTTCTTTCCAGATTGAGTTCAGCCCATTACGTCAGTACACCTTTGCGCCGGTGTCTAACAGCCAGAAAATAGAAGGTATGTGAGTGCGCTGCTGTTAGCAGCTTGAAACCGCCCATCTGATGCATGCAGCCTGCTGACTGACTGCTCCGTCCTCAGATAAGTCCGGCTTCACGGGACTCCGCCTGACGCTGACTGAGTTGGGGGATGTGCCTCGTTTACCGGGCAGATCCCTCAGTAAGTTCTTCGCCCTAAAGGAAATGAGAGTGATGGGCACCTGCATGTGCCATGGACACGCGGACCGGTGCCTGCCAGAGGAATATGTTAACCCAAACTCCAACACCATACAGGTCTGACAACAGTTGTACATTATTGTTATCTTTTAATTCAGTTTATTTCT